GTCTGTAGACGCTGGGACGAAACCTTCAATACTGCCCTATAAAAACAAAGAGGTTCGAATTTTAGGTGTCAGTTTTAAGGCAGTTTCTTCACAAAACACAATGAAGTTCATCATATTTTATTAGTACATATATAGTTATTGTGATTATTAGTTTAAATTATGAACACTCATTTTAGGGGAGTTTCATTAGGCATTTCCTACAGTTTTTTATTTTATTTTTTTATAAAGTTTCAGAGCTTACCAGTGCATGAAAAAAAGCAGATTTTCAAAATAAAGTACCATGCAGGGATTGCAAAACATATTTTTTAGTACTGCTCCCTGACGTACTGGTTGCAAATAGTGGAAGACAGTGTCAGAGTCAATTATTTTAAGATTAAATAAAAAACGTTCACACTATACTTTCCAAAGTGACGAGACCTTGATATTAATCAATTGACAAGAAAGATTTCTTCAAATGTGAATCTGAGATTATGTACTCTCCTGTGGCAGAAAAGTAAGAGAAATTAACTTATATCTTTGATGCTTGTTCCTAATCGTGAGCATGCTTTTTTATTGTTAATAAATGTTTCTGTGCTTCAACGTGTCATCGTCAGTTAGGTACATCATTACCTGTTACTTCTTCCGGTTAAGGAAGCAGACATGGGTCCGAAAGGCTTCAGGTTCGAGTCCACCATCTGCCAAGTTGCCACTGAGGTGCTCTGAGCGTATAGCTGCCCCCTGTTCACTGTCCACTTTGGTGATGGGTTAAAAGCAGAGGTCACATTTGGTTGTGTGCAGTGCTGTGCTGTGTCACAATGACAAGTAGTCCACTTTCCTTTCCTTTCCTTTCCTTGGAGTACTTTGCATTTGAAGTAAAGTACCTTTTAATGTTCGAGAGTCGTTCGCCAGTTGTCTCGGACTGTGGGTACATGTCATTTCCTGCAGATCTAAGTCATAATAATTAGTTCATATCTCATAATAATACATTAATATCTTATTTTTATGAAATATTTCTTGTTATTATGAGATATTATCTCATTATTATGAGTTAGAATCTCATTATTTTGACTAAAGAATCGATTATTTTGTTCCCCAGGGCTTCCGTAGACGAGCTTGAGAAAAAGCGTTTCAGTGTCAAAGTCGTGTCCACAAACCTCGACGAATAAACTCAATCTTGGCTAACGTTACTCACACTTTCTCGACTGACCTAAGATAATGTTTACATTCCAGCATAAGCATGAACGCCCCCTCAACAGACCACCAAATTAATTGCTTAATTTAAGCACTGTGCTAGCAGCCTGTGCTAGCAGCCTGTGCTAGCCTAGAGACACTTGCGCTAGGGCTCCAGGCTGTTTGGACCCAGTTGAAGCACTTTTAATACCATTCGCTCATTTTAAGATGCTGCTATCTTTTCAACGTATGCTCTGCGATCACATGCACAGGCGTGTAGGCTAACATGCCAACGGTCTCGGAAATGTTGGCTGGTTTCCTCGAAAAACGCTCATTCCAAAACTTCAACTATATTGACAAGATAACAAACAAAATCAACGTTAGAGCCAGCCTTCATTGGAGCATTGGAGGCTTTGATCGCTTACGTGAGGTCGCCTCCGGTGGTGAATGCCCGGAAATGGAAATAGGGCGCAGTTTCGCAACTTGAATCTTGAGACAAACCAAACTACAAACTCCAGAAATACCAAGTAGAGTAAACAATGTTTGCATTTTCAGTGCAGAATGTTCGTAAGAAGAGAGAAAAAGACATTTTTAGATTTAAAAAAAAATGAATGAGAAATGTTTGACACCGTCTTTCATTTTAAATCATTAATTTATGTGCGTTTCCTGCCACACGCCTGATCTGGCCACCAACAGAAACCCAGATAAAGGTGTTTAATCGACACTTTTTTTTGTGGACGTGAACAGTACGTGTGATCAACCGGATGAGAGGCCTACATTTTACCAACCACATAGATACCAGCAGGGTTCCTAGCTGTAAGCACAGCTCTCACTCTCACTCTGCAGCAGCAGCAGCGTATATGTGTGTGTGTGAGTGTGTGTGTTTGCGCACGGTTCCACTTGTAGAGGCCAGCCAGCGTTGAGCTTCCACTGTAATTACACACTGACAGCAGATTAATTCCTGCTATTAAAAAAGAAAGAGCGAGCGGTTGGAGGACAAAAAAAAAAAACCAAACAAACAAACAAAACAAAAAAAAAAAAAAATGAGAAATGATCATGGTGAAAACAATGGCTCTTGCCTCTGTACGGTGATGTAAATTTTTTTTTTTTTTTTTCAAAGCCAAATGTTGCAGCCATTACTGTGACTATCTGCCCCTCTCTAAAACACAGCACATCTGTAGAAGGTCAGTTAAAACTCTGTTTAATATTTATTTAATAATATCTAACTAAGGTAAAACTGAAACGTCAGGAATTTAAATCACAGCCAAGCCAAAAAAAAAAAAAAAGGCAGGCAGTGTTTAGGTATTCATAGTTTTTTTTAAGTAAAGTCAAACAAAGTAAAAACTTTTTTTTGTTGCTTTTTTGCTTAAAAGAGTAAATAAGAGATAAAATGATAAATTAATAATTCAAATATTCATTTTTATAAATAGTTTAAAATAATAGTACATTTAAAATGATGGACTCTGGCACATAGACAAAGGAAATCAGTAAATTCTTTCTATTTTTATATATATTTTATATAGATATAATATATATTTTATATTTTTGTAA